GGGGGGGGGTGGTAAATCCTACTTATTGTGCCTTTAATGGCCAATTCTTAACTTTAAAGTCATCAGTATGTTAACCAAGTTTACTTGTTCATCTGGTAAAAACACACTTTCTGCAGTAACTGCTGAGATCAAATTAATTGTCATTTGTCTCTCAATCATTTTGCATCATGACTACATAGACTGCTCCACTATAGGACAAATACTCTTTTACTCACCCTGGGTGGTCTCGCTGTCTCGGATCATAAAGGATCCCACTTTGTTCCCGGAGGCCAGCAGCTGCCTCTCAGCATCTTTCCTGCTCACGCCCTTGAAGAACCACCTCAACAACAGGAAACAGATCAGTTAGAGCAGAAACCCTCTCAACGGACCTCAATATGCAAGCCTCGTGACAAACCTCAAAAAGGTGCCATCTAAATACGGCACATGATACTCTATAGCAGATACTGATGATGCATATGAAAGTGTTTTTAATGGGAGTACACTTACTCCTCTGCCTCCAGAGTGTCTTTGGCCACATAATTACTGGGGATGAAGCCCTCCTGACCCGAACTGATTAACTTCGCTTTCCACCACTCCCCCGATCTGCAGAGAGAGAGAGAAAGACAAGTGTGACTTGACGAACCACGTCCTTCACCAAGTCCAAAAACTGCATTTTGAACAAGCAGCTAACTTATTATTGTTGTCCTCATATCCGAAGCAACGACTGCTCTCTCTGTTGATACTTACTCCTCTAGGATTCGGAGCTTATCTCCCTTCTTGAAGCCAAGGTCGCCGTCGTGGATGGCCTCGTAGTCGTACAGCGCCATGACGATGCTGTCTCCTACGGCAGCATGGCCCAGAATAACAGTGAAAAGAAGCCGGGGTCTTTGTGTCGGTACATTGTGGTCGAGACGTGCAGTGTGAAATAAATATGTGCCTTTTTCGCATTGTCATGTGAAAGCTGCAAGCGTGTTTCCTCTCTGAAGAATTGCATGCTGAGAAGTAATTGCCTGATAAAAACATTTTGTGGAGCAAAAAAAACTATGGAGTTGAAACCAAGCCTGTTTTTTTTGGCTTGTGAAAAGTTGACATTTGGAAAGACGTTTTTTGTGAGTGTCTGCTTTTTTTTAGCGGATTCACTGCATTTAAGTCTGTACCACATCAATCTTGGGTTCCCCCGTGCTTAGACTATGTAACTGACTTCCTTGTGTGTCTGATAATAATAGCAGCGGGGCTGGGGCTTTCCACCCGCGCGATGGAAGGGCTGTCGCTCTGTGCCCGACACACTCACTCTCCTTTATTAAACGTCGCGTCGAGCCTCGGTTTCAAGACTCTGTGGTGGTGTTTGAAAGGTGGGAGGTTGGAGATACACCTGCCATTGACTGATCTTAGTGCTTTATTAGTGGCTGGACTTTCATTTGAAATACAAAAGCAAGTATACAGGTTGCACTGTGTGAGTGGAGCTGCAACAGTATGTAAATAAAGATTGTGACTCACCGTCTGAAGAGTTTGCATTGGATGGCAATTTGCTCTGTAGAGAGAAAGACATGCGGTGGTATAAGGCCAAGAGCAGAGCCGTCAAATATTCATTCCCCACAATTTTGTTTATTCAAAATGAGAAAAAAAATTCAATAATTATACATTTTTGGGTTGCTTAGGGACAACACAATCATCAAATCAAGTTGTTATGGCAAATGTGTTGGCAAACTGTTAGACTTTCTATGCTAGCTCATCGTTAACTTGCTATAACACGTCCAACTGCAGATGCTGGAAATGATGAGAGCCGTGGGAATGAACCAAAACTTTAACGGTGCAGGCCAGGAAAACAAAACAATTAGCCAAAAGATGCTAAAAAATGCTCTCTAGAGTCGCCAGCATTCGCTACGAGCAATCGCTACGAGCAATCGCTTGCACATTACAGGCATTTTATTGTTTTCCATTGTTAAAATATAAATTAGTGCAGCTTTCAACACTTTGTATATGACTTGAACATGATGAACTTTAAAGTTGAATTGAAATTGTCTTCAATTCTACTATGTCAGTATTAGATTATCTAAAGCAGGATTATCTCGAAATATTACTTACCATGTTAAAGCAAATCAAGATTATATTTCACTGAAATAATCAATCATCATTTCAAGTTTTAAAGTCTTAAATTCAGCTAGAATAAAACCACAAAAAAAACAACCATTTGAAAGGAAGGACTTTGTCTTATCAACAAAGGTATCGCGGGCTGAGCTGTGTAGAGACCAGACAGCAAGACAGACGGACACATTTAGACATCTGAGAGATAATACAACTCAAGTTTTGTCTTTCGCCCGAGTGCTCTGCTTCTGTCACTTCCTCTTCCTTCAATGGGGGGGTGAAAGAGTTACATTCAGCACACAGGAAGCAGTAGCCAGAGGAACTACACTTGTAGCACTGCTACTTCACCCATGGCACAGATCAAAGTCTGGCCAGTATGCAAACAAGCTACTGGAACATGTTTCAGAGTATATGTCGGCGCACGCCTATCCTCTCTGAGAAGAAAACCGTGGTAGTAACTAATAAAAAAGTGTTTTCTTTTCTCTTTTGAATCTCGTCATACTTTCACTGCTTCTGAAATTGACACCATTAATCTTCCTCACTCTTGTTTTTAAATGCCCAGGCACTCCTGCAGGTGTGCACGTCCGTATTTGCAAGTTCATCAACACATTTTGGTCAGATACAACGTGGCTAAAGATCTAAATTGACGTTTAGTGGTGGGAAGTAACTAAGTACATTAAATCAAGTACTGTGTTTAATTACAATATTTCCATTTGATGTTATTCTACTAAATTTATTCGCAAACTATAGCTACTACTGTAAGTACGAATACAAATACGTCAGCATTTGACGTGTCTGTGGTTTGCAGAAACTAAGAATTTCAAAAAGACAAGATTAGAGAACAGTCCTCAGGCGCAGAACTTACCCATACCTCATTAATCATCTTATTATGATGAGGACTAAACAGTATATAAAGTAGCTCTAATAATCACAGGGGCCATTTTTCCTGCACAACTAATTTGACTTTTGATGTATTAAGTGTATTTTGTTAAAAATTCTTCTGTAGTTTTACTGAATCAAGATTTTGAATGCGGGACTTATACTTGTAATGGAGTATTTTTACATTGCTATATTGGTGCTTCCACCAACGGGCATGTCACAATTAGTTGCAGAAGTTGTATTAGAAAGGAGCATTTTTGAGGAAGCAAAGTATAGATGACAACTTCTCTCTGTGACTTTTTATACATGTTACATTGTTACTCGCTGTGTGATTTTTATCTGCCACATTACTGCTTACAGCTTTGCTCCCGGAGTTTCCTGCGGTGGGGTCTTTGACGTAATGGGCCGTCTGCGCGCAGCTCTGCTGGTCGTCATTGCTCGTCTCTTTGCCGAGAGGCTGCTGCTCCTTCTTCGAGCCCACACAGCCCATGGTTCCTTCTGCAGCAGGACAACGGAGGAGAGACGGCAGGACATGAAACAAAAAAGCCCAGTTCTCTCAGCCCTTGTGTGACTTGATGTTTCTGCTTTATATAGAGAATAGTGTCAGTAACACCAATTTAATAAGGAACAGACTGAGTATGCAGTTGTTGGGGAAGTGTTTGTCACAGAAACACTGTTCAATCATGAACAATTAAAGTAATAAATGACCTTTGAACACTACAAGGGGCACTATGCTGGTCATGTGATAAACACTACTGGAGTAAATATATAACTAGTATGTTTTGTAGCAACCACCACAGGAGGGCCTATTTTTTGAGGCACTTCAGCATCGCTTCACGTTTCAGGCCCAGAGGTTTCCTTGTGTTGGAAAAACTTCTGGACTGTGAAAACAAGAGTTTTTTTTCTTATCTTGGTAAACTTGGACCACTGGTAAAATATTCTGTCACTTATTAAGAGGAGAGCAAATACAAGAAAACATCGGCCAATCCCAGAAAAAAATGGGTGCAAGCAAAAATAGGAAAAGAAAACGTGGATACGAACAAAAATAAGAGGGCAATTGTTCTCATATTGCTTCCTGCCTGAGGCCCATTATCTCTCTCAGCTGGCTGTTACTGTCAATGTGTTTCAAAATGTCCCTAATATTGGGTGGTGAATGTGTGAAAATGGACTATCACATGATATTCTTAGATATTCTTCACTTCGGGGGGCAGAATTAAAGCTGACACAGTCAGTCAGCTCACTGGATGACCATGGCTGTTATTGATGCGTCTGCAACCTCAACATTGTTGGTGTTCATTCTGACTCAATATCTTTCACGGATGTTGGCCACCTGATAATGTTTTATCTATCTATCTGTTAAGATATTACAAGAATGAACACAGCAAGGTCTTTCCATCTACCGCTGCAATACAAATATGTTCACACAAGACACTGTTTCATCAGTAAAGTTGAAAGAATACGTTGTTTTCTCTTTCTTTCACACTGAAACTGACTGTGTGTATCCTCATGCAAATGTGAACACAGTTATCTGGTACCAGGTTTAGGAGAAGCGAGAACAAAGAGGGAGTCTGTGACGGCAGATGGTAGTTGTGCTTTATGGCACATGTTGGCACACATACATGTGTAACCCGTCTCTCTTCGGCTCAGAGAAGCAGATTGTGATGTTTATCACAAACAGCGGAGCCCTGCTACCATGCACACACAACTCCTATGAGTGGAGAGGTCACATGTCACAGTGGAATAACTAGAACTACCACAAAAGAAGACGCATGGTACCCTCAGTCGATACATTTCGAATCACTTTAACTTTAAACATTTCTGCGAGCATCTCTCTGATGAAAGCCGTAACCATAATCATTAGCATACTGCCCTGCTGACACTCACCATTAAGCAGTGGTAAGCAGTGGAAAATGTTTCATATGAACATTCAGACACAGGAAGTTCCGGTGTTCTGGAGGTCAAAATGAACCTATTTGCTTCCTTTTTTTTCTCTCTGTTTCAAACCTTGTTCCTCTTTAGACGTCTAACCTCAGGAGGCTGAGGCTTGCAAGTATTGAACAGTAGCGGCTCCCTGTCATGTTTGTACTGATGGAGGTCAGCATTAAGCTGCTGGTAACACATTGCCCTAGTTTAACTATGTACACAAATTGCAGCTGTCATTGATTCATCTCAGTCGGTGACTAAAGCAGCTACAGTACATGTCAAAGGAAATCCACAATCTCACATAGCCTGAATGAAAGAAATCAGCTCACATGGCAACTCTTGAACTGAAAGACTGCTTTTCTCAAACTTTCAGTGTAAGACAGTGAGATCCATTGGGACTCAATCATGGACACCAGCAAACCAAAAAATGTCAGGCCAATCAAAGCTTCTTAAAGCTGCAGACTGGGGCTTTTTGAAATGATGAGAGATGTCTGGAAAAATAGGGTTTTGGGCCCAATTGCTCTACTTAGCGGACATGTTGTAATTCCACGGTTTGGCCACTATGTCCAATTTGCTTCGCAACCAACGGCCGTGCACCGCACAGCCGCTGGTCTCTATAAAAACACTTTATGTTAAAAGTTACATCATATAATTTAGTTCAATGATCAGGTCGATATATCAGCTTATTGCACATATATCGGTATCTTAGTCACAATTCTTTAGAAAATCAATCGAACTGTCTTTCTCGTTTTAAACACCTGAATATTGATATCAGTATGTGCCTTAAAAGTCCAGTATTGGTCGGGCTGTACAATGTGCTCCGACACTGAGATTGGGCGAGAGTAACTGTAGGCTTTGACACTATAAAAGTATTAAGTATTAACTCCTCATCCATTATCATGGATTGCAGGAGGTGATTCACTAGATAACACCTCCTGGCATCATAGAATTTGCAATATGTAACTTTTATTATGTTTCAGACCTCACAGCCTCCAACGGTTCAATGGGGATGAACCCAGTAACTTAACCGCTGCTGTGTCACCAACTGGAAAACACAATATTACATTTTGACATTTCATTTGGCTTTCTGCAGAGCATTAGATGAGAAGATTATGTACAAAAAACAGTATTCCTAAAGCTCACTAAAAACACATTTTATCAAAGACATCACTGCTCCCTGCACGTGACTCCCAGCAAAACCACAACTAATTGTTTTGACATGTTTTTTTATGTGGATTAAACAAATGGCTGACTTGATGATTAGTGTTAGAGGTGCAGGAAGACTTATATAATTCATGATGTTTTAACCTTTGGACAGAGCCAGGCTAGTTTTCTCCTGCTAAGATGTCTCTAGCGTCATATTTATGAGAGTGGCACCCATCTTGTCGTCTCAACTCTCAGGAGGAGAGACAACAATATCTGTGGATTCAGCTCTGTGTTAGTTTGACAAGAATGTCGAAGGAAAGATCATCACTAATGCTGGAAATCCCAAATCTATCCATCTATCATCACCAACTCAGTTGTTGCTAAGTAAAAAAAGTCTATCCACAACTATCCAACACACTTTGAAAGACAAACTCTCTGGGAAGTTAATTCAGTGGTAAGCAGGAATGTGTATTTTTATGAGCTTTCTAAGGAAGGATGAAAAAGTGTCTTGCATAAGTTCAGATCATATGAATGATGACATAATTTCCCATTACCTCAGGTCACACAACAACATGAGCCTCAACATGGCCAAATAACTCAATTGTGGAAATCAAAAACTCTGAAATATGGTTCTTTGTATTCTTGCAGAGTTATATGATAAGATTTATATCAATACACTTAATATAAGGCCAGGATCAGGTTACCTTAGTCTAGCACAAAGTCTGGTAAAAGTGGGAAACAGCTAACCTGGCTGTGTGCAGAGTTCACTTATCATAACCTCTACAGTTCACTACTTCACAACATCTTTCCTGTTTGTGTAATCTGTAAAAATCTAGTTTCATGGAGGATTATGTGCCGGATTATTTCTCAGCCAGTAGCAGTGACTTGTTGGAGTCTTTGGTTCTTCCTGGCAACCTAACGTTGACAAGTGAAAACATGTTGATGCCCATCGAACACAATGTTTAATTTGTCCGTTCTGGGCACTTGTAGAAAAATGGTGCAACACAGTGTGTGACATGGACCATATGTATATAAGAAGTGGATATTACCGTGACATCATCCATTGGTTTGTGGACTGCCATTCCGAAGCCTCAAGTTTGGCATTTTAGCTGTCGCCATCTTGGTTTTTTGAAATCAGAAGTAATACGAGAGAGTGGAGCTAAGCACAACTTAAACCATTTTTAGGCGACCAAAAATGGTTCAAATAAACTTTCATGAACTGAAAACACTCTGTGAAAGGATTAAAGTTGTAAGTAGAAAAACATGGACAACTCTCAGACCGGACAACGCCTTGCAGCAACCTGTCAATCACAAGGTAGCCACGCCCTAAAGCATGAACATTTGCCACCATAAGCTAAGTTTATTGAAAGAGGAAGAATGTGTTTTTTCTTCTTTCAAAGGTTACATAGATATAAAATGAGAACTGTACTATTCAAGAGCAGTGCTAATGTCTGAGTCACTGAGTTCATTTACTATTTCAACCATTTATCCATTACTTTCAGCTAATGATTTCAACTGTTTATCCATTATTTTTGACTAAGTTTTTCAACTGTCTTTGTTATAATTTTATATATTTTATGTCTACTTGAATTGTTTCTGAACATCTTTCCAACATCGTTGGATCTATGCTGATTTATGCCTTTTTTCTTATTTTCTCCGATACTTGGTGCGATGTTGCTGTTGCGTCTGCCATTTTTTCTCTCCTGTGAAGTGTCTTATTTTACCCATAAAGCATTGCCTGACATGCTATCTAAGTCAGTCTTACAGCAGTCACTAACAGGGGAGCTCACATGGTAAATGAATGTGTCAAGTGTGTTTACAGAAAGAAAAAGTCCTTGACCCCTCCAAAACCCTAATCAACATCTAATGTTGCTGACACATCACACTGTACCTCTAAGGTACGTGTTCGTTTAAAGGCCCAGTTCATAATTATCCAACCATATCATACCACGCAGATACGTACCACTGCAAACATCAGCAAAGCCATACATCTGCAATAAGCTTTTAGGATATGTGGACAGAAAGTGTGCATTGAAACTTTGTTCAATGGAGCACAAGAAGAAACACACTTCGACATTATATACTTGCATGTGCCGTCTTAACCCTAGCTAGCTCAACCCTACATCCATCTGCACCGACAGCTGTCCAAGCAGTGAGCAGGAACCGTTCAGTTCTTGAAGGGTACTTTAACTGAATGCCATGATTACACTGTAATGCATGTGACATTGTAACAATTTGGCAATTAGGCAAGATTTTAGCTGGTGTCCCCACCAATCCTTGTGTCCATACACTCACACAGAAACTGCTTACCTATATGTTTAACACCCGAATAGTCTTTCCAACTTCCCCTTATGAATTTAAGTGTTATTGCATTACACTCAGAGTGACTGACATGAACTCTAGATATTAGGCTGATGTGCCGGGGTGCTGCTGATGGCAACCCAGAAAATAGGACCCATACAATGTCTCCTCTCATTTGCCTGTACCGCCGATGCCGAGGGCCGGCTTTGAGGAGTATTATCCTCCAAACTAGTTGAACACATAAGCGCATAGACTCGCTCAACAGATGTGAATAATTCATGTATTACATAACATGTTATGAGAAGTGACTTTTTTTGAAGCAGATGTACATTTTGTGGGCTGCCAGGCTGTGTGTACCTGTTTTGAACTGCCTCAGGCCATAACAATATCACCTGCCAGCCTGGCACACAGCCAACAGGACGACAGAGAGAAAGAAAGAAAGAAAGAAGGAGTCACTTGCATCGCTATTCAGTAACTTATCAACAGGAAAAGACTCTGGACTGCATGACGGCTCCATCTCAGCATGCTCGGGTGATTTACTTTTAATAATCGTAGTGTATGACATTATTGCAGTAGACCTCATGGACTGAACCAAAGTTCCTGCATCATTTATGCATTGATAAGCTGTTTGTTTGCTGTTGCCACCGCCAACAATATCCAGTTTACGTGACAGATAGCCCATATATAAACACTGAGACTGATATATTGTACAATCTACACACACTTTTTCATCATACAATTATATCTATTACATGTTATGCAAGATTACAGTTTATTTTCTGCTCTATATGTATATAGTTTAGCATGTAGTGTACGTGCTATGGAACCATTGGCATATGCCAAACCTAATGTACGACATGCTTGTGACAATGATCAGGCAAGATCAGAGCTGAAACAATTGATTGATCGACAGAAAATCAATCAGCAACTATTTTGATGATTGATTTTTTTTCTTCTCATTTATTTGAATCGTCAAGCCCCAAATCCTCTGGTTCCAGCTTCTTAAAGTTCGAGGTTTTATATCATTATAAAGTGAATATCTTTGATAAAACAAGAACTCGGAAAGTTTCATGGGCAATTTGTTTTAAAACTATTTTCTGTCATAGACCAGAGAAAATACTAAACAGATGAATCCATAATGCAGATAATCATTAGTGTCAGCCCCATAGGTAAGATACATGAACTATATATTGTTATTGTACAGAATGGACTGTTCTCTGTGTTATTTCTTTAAGCATTTTGCTCTTCTTAGAGGAAGTTGGTTTTGTCTAAAAATTCAAATTCTGCTTCTCTGTCAAAGCGAGACGAACTCAAGTGACCAGTCTTGAGTGTTGTGTCATTTGAAGTGTTGGGGTTGCGATAGCTCTTAACTCTCTGCTTTACAACATGTGGGGGATTTAACAACTAGCATGATGCAACGCTGGCATTTCTGCAGTGTAGATAGCATGCACAAAGTGTGATTCCCTGAGCACTTATCTTGAAGGGATGCACTCACTAATATCACAAACACATATCCTCAAACACTATAAAATACATCTACAGTATATCTGTTGTGTGTGTGTGTGGGGGGGCGTCTATGATCTCAAGACCACTGGACATCTAAAATGAAAGTTAATGCACGTACACTGTAAGTAACGGAACAGAAACTAGTCTAGTTGCAGGTTTCTGGTTTGGTCTAGATGGACAGTCTAAAAATAGCCCCCCCCCCACACACACGTGAGAACCCTCACCAGAATGCATACGAAAGTGGTGGGAAGCGCTGTAATAAAATTGTAATAACATTTTATTTTATTTATTGTAATAAAATAAAATTGAGTTTACTTCACTTCACTTTAGACCATTTTCATATTTTCTCTGTATATAATTTGTGCACAGTGGCGCGTGCAGGCGGTGGTTGATTCAACTCAAAGACTGAAATTTCTTTTTTTGTTGTATCTTTTTAGCATCCTTGTTGTAAAAACTGCATGCCACAGCAAAAATGTCTTACTATATTTCCGACACATTTACTTCATGATCTATATATATTTTGTCTTTTGTCATCGTTCAGTCTGTCTACTCCCGGACCCTTCCTACACAGGCGAACGCAGATCAAGAGGACACTTACCACACTTCGATTGTTACTTCTGCGCTTGTATATGCTCTTCTAGACTCGGGTGACCGTGTAAAGCATAATCCTCATTTCTTCTCCGCCGGCTCCATCCTTTCACAGAACTGTTGTTTCTCTTGGGGTTCTGGATGAAGATGCGGACGGGTCGACGGGGCGCAGCGCACTGGGCTTGTAACAAGGAAGTTCGAGCTGTGCGCATCTGACTGAGCTGGTGAGAAGAGGAACCAGCTCACACCGCTATAGCGCTCGTACTCTCGGTTTCACTGTCTGAAATAGCCGGCTGTCATCCCCCCCTCCCCAGCTGCTTATATGGAATGGAGAGGAGAGAGCTGCGTTGTGCGACAAAACGCAAATTTAAAAAAAAAGCTTTTAAAAAAAAAAAAAAAATATATATATATATATGTATATATATATTCATTGTCTAGAGTCATAGTTCACCCACTTTTTGCCAACATGTAGACTATTGTGGTACATCATTGCATGTTATAAATATGTACAGGACATTTCTTTCCCCTAATCCAAAATTCCCAAAAATGTATAGGCTACGTTGAAGCCACAGTCTTATCTATGCTGCTATTTTTGATGTTGGAGTGAATGGCTAGAGGGAAGAATAGATTAAATGGGCGGATGCCATGGATGGGTGGACAGATGTGAGGGACACATTTGCATGGTGTGCAGGACAGCTCTAATATGTATTCAAATGAGTGTGACAGCCATCATGCTCAGTGCGTCCTCTGGGCGGGGGCAGCAGAGTTGGAGGCGTGGGCGGCTCAGCCCCGGGGCCCACAACAGCAGCTCGGCAATAACACATCAGAGAAAGCTCCCTGCTCTCCAGATGTAATCCTTAATCATCAGTCAGGATTAGAAATTGAGTTCCCTCAGAAGCCTATAGGCTGCAGCGAGGGAGGGCCGTCACACGGAGATGAGGACGAGGATGACATTAGAATTAGATCAGTGAAAAAAACTGAAAAGCATGTAAGAGTTTTTAAAAATGGTGAAGGATAATAGATGAAAAAAAAATCCCTGCATGAGGGATAAAGAGAGAATTGGTGTTTAGCAGCTGCTCAGAGCAGCAGATGACCATGACGTTGCTGTGGGTGACTTACAGGCCACAGTTTGTGGCTCTTCATATTCAAACTTCAGGGGGAAACAAGTTCCTCATTTACCATGTTGAAGATTCACAGATAGCTTAATTATTATACAGGGAATTAAGTACATGTGAGTGAGAGACGACATACTTTACTGTTTTGGACGGTGTGTTTGGGCTAAGAGTTTACAGAACTACAAGTACATACACCGCTGAGTATGTCGTCACCACTCAGCTAGCTGCTATATGTTGGCAGACAGCTTGGTGAGTTTTATTTTGTTTGGTACGACGTATCTCATACTCCTGGTGGAAATCTGCAGTTGTGTATTTTGTGTGAAATGTAAGTAAATGTAAATATTTATAAAACAGTCACCCAACAGCAAGTTCATTTAATTTAAAAACAGTCAACTAACTTGGTGTAACTTGATTGTGCATCATGGGACTTGTTCTTGACTTTGGACTTTTTATTGTCTTCGGACGTGTTCTTAACTTGGATCTTGTGCTTGACTTGGGTCTTGTTCTTAAGTTGGGTCTTCTTCTTAACTTGAGTCTTGTTCTTTACTTGGGTCTTGGTCTTGACTTGGGTCTTGGTCTTGACTTGGGTCTTGTTCTTTACTTGGGTCTTGTTCTTAAGTTGGGTCTTCTTCTTGACTTGGATCTTGTGCTTGACTTGGGTCTTGTTCTTCACTTGGGTCTTGTTCTTTACTTGGGTCTTGTTCTTAAGTTGGGTCTTCTTCTTGACTTGGATCTTGTGCTTGACTTGGGTCTTGTTCTTGACTTGGGTCTTGGTCTTTACTTGGGTCTTGGTCTTGACTTGGGTCTTGGTCTTGACTTGGGTCTTGTTCTTTACTTGGGTCTTGTTCTTGACTTGGGTGTTAGTCTTGACTTGGGTCTTGTAGCTACAGCAGATGTGTGCTACAGGTCCTGAATACCAGCATTATTATTACAAATAATAACATTTTAGTAAATGTTCCACAACGATTGGCATAATTATAGTCCACAGGGAAAGAATCAGCAAAAGTCAGTTCACACTGAACAGTACATTTCCGTCAGTCCCTTCCTGTGGGTGGAGATGGGACCGTACAACAAATTTCATGTGAACAAGGAGAACCAATCTAAGACATCTTGAAGAGAGTTGATGAAATGCTCTGCTCTATTGCAAACATTCATAGATAATAACTTTACCTAAAACTCTTTCCTTGTGTAAATGTAATCTGTGAATAGAATGCTTTTACAGGAATCTGACCATTGAGATGATTTCCTGTAACAGTAAAGTTGTATCACACCACAAACGTTTCATGGTTTCCACTGGTCTCTACATCCCTGTTCATCACACCGCAATGGTTTTGCATAATGTCCTGAACAAAAAGTTTAAAACATGATGTATAGTTCCCAGAACACTCCTCATTATTCATTTTGGGTTATCCCCCCTTCAGTATGTGTACAGCAGGAGTGTGGTAAACTTGCTATTGTAGGATATATAAGAGCTGAACCATATACAGAGGGAGCTACAGAAGCAACATTCAAAAACGGAAGTTTATTCCAGCATTAGAAGAATTGCATTCAGACAAAAGTTTCTAAGAGTATACATTGTCTCATTAGAAAAAAAACAACAACATTTCTGTTGAGGCCACACAACAACACAACATTTCGCTCGATGGATTAGCACACAGTAAAAGCCAAAGCACAGTACTTACAATACGGTCAATCTCATTTTAATTAACTGAGAGATACAAACGGCAGGGGAAGGCTATTTTGTCCACTGACCAAGTACTGTGCTTAATGGACTCTAATGGCTTTAGAGAGACATGATAGAAAAACTAGAAATCAATATAACAGCATTATGGCTGCACAGGTTTTCACACACAGGATAATAAAAAGTGCACACTTTTGAAAAAAGAAAGGACTGAAAAATAACAATCTAATTTTTGGAGTAAATATTGGCTGATTCTGCCTCTTGATTAGGGCAACGCCATTAAAAAAATAGCTTATATATTTACTCAAAATGGACACATTGACTTAACAGTGCAGTGCCACAAAAGTATAGGTTATTCAACTGACTGTCACTGTGTTTTTATCACTTCCATCCACCCGGCTTACCACAAGCTGTCACAGCTGTAAACGGAAAGTTAATACTTGCAAAATATGTGCATTCTTAAAATGAAAAAGAGGAAGAGGAACATGTTTTTTCTTGGGTAGTCACTTAAGACGGGGTGAGGGGAGTGGATGTTCTGTGGCAAGAAATAGCCAGGCAGTGACAGTAATGTCCGTTTGAGTTGTACCTAGTCAGAATGGGCGGTTACGTGTTACAAAATGTGTTTTAAGCATGTCACTTCTCCACCAAGCAACTATAAGCTGCTGAACAGGATGCTAATGTGTGCTTGCATGCACATTCATATTTGACAATAAATGTTTTATTCAGATGGAGAGAGTCTAAAGACATTTTCTCCATCTACTCATTTTCATCAGTGTTTAGTGACTTCATGGAAATGGAATTTGTGTTGCTAAAAAATCCAAATAATCAATAGAATATGATGTTGAACACTGGTTCATTTTGGAATGCCCAAGGTAGTACATTCAGATTTATGCTAGCAGGAATTGGACATATATGGTACGAGACGTCAAATGTTCCAGTTCATAAAATTACTCTTTGAATATCCTGAAACTAAACGGAATATTAATATCCATATAAGTGAAAGTGAATATTGGACTTACGACCGTCAGGTGGACACAAACAACTCCAAATGAATCCAAGTGTTGCTCTGTGTCTGCTGGATTCAACCCTATCTCGTACAAAATTACGTTTTTCATACAACTACGCTGCATTTTCAACTATGTTTGGAGGGCAATGTTTTCAACAGTTCTTTAAACATGCGGTAATGCTGTGAATTGAAATAAAACAAAACAAACTAGAATCAGCGCCTTGAGGTTGTATGCCTCCACCAACCAGTCAAGTTGCAGTTTACATCCATGTCTGTCCAAAATTCCATCACCTCATCATTTTATCCTATTTGACATTTGTTTGAAATTGTCAACAATTAGCAAATTAATTCTTGATTGATGGCTAAAAAGTGACCTTGACCTTTGACCACCAAAATCGAATCAGTTCATGGTGGAGTCCAAGTGGACGTTTGTGCTAAATTTGAAAAGATTCTGTGAAGGTGTTGCTGAGATAATGGAGCAGAGCCAGAATGGACCAGATGTACTGACAATCCGAAAACATAAGGCCTCTGGCGATGGCTGTGAAGGCTGACTTTTGGTTTCACACGGGACACGAACAGCAGACTCCTTTGTTAAAGTCCTTTGTTTGTTCGACCCATCCAGCACCCTGACTTCCTCTACACATCAGAAACGTATTTGTGATATGTCAAAAACAAACGTAATCCTCAACAAAATACATTTCCCTCGAAACGTATTTCACAATGCAGTTCTGTTGTATATGGAAGTGATCTATTGGAGGCTGGCTGGATGTGTAAAGAGACAACTGTTTGCTTATGTGTTTATGTGGAGAAACACAACTCCAAATTAATGCATATAAATGAAGGTTGCTCCATGTCTACTCCAATGTTTGCTGTTTTTGTTAGCCGTATCAACTTTATAAGATACACGTAAGTGATGTGTGTACAGCTCATTGCGGTTCCCCCAGGTGGCAAAATCAGTTGATGCAGGTTTAAGTGAGATCACTGTGAATCAATGTTATATCATGCTCTTTAGCAAGTGCTGTTCTCCTCAGTTCTCACTGTGATCTTGATCTTCCTCTCCCGCTGGACATCTGTGAGGAAGAAAAGGGAATTGTTAAAAACAAAAACAGTTGGTGAGGGTTCGTTGAGTGGATTACAATACTGTGCATTCACAATGTAACACCGTATCCATTAGAATTGTGTTTAATTGCAATGAATGTGTGAGACGTCCATACGTGGTTGTCAGGCACCTCCAATATCATTAAGTGGATGATATTTGTATCATATACAAGCAATGTTGAACTATCTCTCAGATATCATACGTGTGTACAAAAAAACGGAAGCAAAATGTACATGAACCACGTGGGGAAAAACATCTTGGCCGTTAAAGCTTTAGACATGTGATCATACTGAAGACCAGACTCAGGAAGAACAGAAAGAAAGGAAGAAGGGAAGAAAGAGTAGGGACGACCTGAATAGTCAACTATTCGACAATTCGATCAAAGGAGCCTGATTCGACTGCAGTTGTTTCAGATTTTCCTCATTTTCAGGATGGTTTAGTGGATTTGGAGCTAGTCATCTTTAAACGTTGTGTTATAGGGACACTCATTGCCGGAGAGGTTGGAAGGAGAGATACGTTTCTAAAATGCTTCTTTTACACTGTGATCTGTAGCTTTAGCTTCTATCTCTATAATCTGTTTTCACTGCTGAACCAGTTTGAAATCCTGGATACATCCTTCAAACAAATATTGTAGACGCTTCTGTCTGCTTCTCTCTGAACTTTATTTACTTAGTGCAGTTAGTGACAGTGTGGGCTCCATGTAGCTTTGACAGCTTGAATAGCAGCAGAGTAGGCAAAATGCACCATTCAAATTTGCTGGAATAGAATCTCGGAGAAGAGTAGAAAAAGCTGTTTCTGGCTTGCATCTCACTCCCTCTCATTCCTTCTGTCTTCTTGTATTAGGACGGAAAGTTCTACTTCCAACCACGAAAAGCAAGCGTCTCGCTATCGATGTCCGCTCTATCGATCTCCGCTCTATCTAAATGATTCTACGATCAGTAAACGATAGGGAAAGCTTGACCAATCAGATTCTGCGAAATCATTTCTGAGTTTGGGACACCCCTGAGAAAGACACACGAGGACTTGAAATGTGAACCAATGCTCACGGTCTATTTCCGAGTCTCTGTCGGTTTCTGTCTCCACAGATGTCCTCTTCCTCTTGCCGCCCTGGTTGCTCTCTTGTCCTGACACACTCCCCTCCTCGCTGTGCTCATCTGAGCTGCTTCCTGGCTCAGCTGCTGGTGACGATGACTGTGATGAGGCAGAGGAAGCACAAGGGCTTACAATGGAAGGGAAGCTCCATTTCAAGTAAAAATGAACGAGAACCAGCTAATATTTTCACATGGCAATTGATATATTGAGTGAGAAAATATTCGACAACACAGCCTCAACTGTATCTGCTTTGGACCTCACCTTGCCTTGTGAGGATAAGGATTCTTGCAGAACAGAATTCAGGTTCTCCAGCACCACTACTATTAGATAAATCACACCAGAAAGTATTATTTCCTTGTGCAAAGTAAGTACATGCATGAACACACACGGACGCGTATGAATCTAAGCTCTTCACCTGGACGTAATGATATTGTGAGGATGGGCACCTTCTTCCCGTTGCATTGGTCTGTCTTTCCATTCACCTCCTCTTTCTGCTCCTGCTCTTTGATTACCTGCCATGATGAGACCATCATACCATGAACACCGTTTGTCCCCTCTTTACCATCAAGCCCCTATTTGTTTTGATTTTATTGCGAAAACAAATTACCTTGTGGTTATAGTCACTGGTAGACTCTTCCTCTTCTTGTTTTACTGGTGGGCTCGAAGTCCAGGAGCACGAGGGAGGAAAGACAGGAGAAGGTAATGATACCATTCCAGGTGAAGATGGATTGGCCTTCCCATCCTTGTCAGGGCTCGTCTGTACTCTCTCTCCACCATGTAAGGATAAGGGCAAATCATCTCTTGCCATTTGGCTGGATTTGGACTTTCCTTGATCCGATAGGTCCAGAGGCCCGTCGTACGCCTCTCTTAGCCCTTCTGCAGAGACCCTCTCAGTTTTGGATGGCGGACTTTCCTTTATCTCTTGGGGCTTAGGTTGACTCTCGACATGCTCTGGCAGACTTCTCAACCTGAACACCACAGTTGGTTCTTTGGCATGGGGCTGAGGGGCGCTCTGCTTGTGCCAGTGAGAGCCAAAAACCTGCCTTAAAGGGCCAGCATGTTGGCTAGTTGGGATCAGGTTGGGAAAGCGTGGCAGGTTTGGCTTGGGTTGCACCAGGCTGGTCCCCGGAGCAGCTGCGGTACCCCAATCTGAGGATTCAGATATTGGCCAGGGGAAACTGACAGGGCTGCTCTTGATTGCCTGAGGACGGCAGGGGACAGGAGCATGGAGCACATGTCTGCTGGGGTTCACTTCTCCACCAATGGAGTAAGAAGAGTTCTTAAGAAGGAGAGCTTTCGGAGGGATAGTGCATCGCTGGTCCTGTCCTTCAACAATCTGGGTTCTAAGTTTTGAGAAACAGAGGCCAGGCAGATATGTTGATGTTAAAATGTTTGTACAGGTAATTAGATAATAATGCATTACTTAGTAATAGTAATACGATTACATTTTCCGCAACATTGTTCTTTTTTGGCTCCCAAAACAGCTCTTTGTTTAAATTTCAGCACTCATTGATCATTGATCAATCATTGATTTGTTACATTCACTGATCCATACTTCCATTGTTCAAATAGTGGCACAACAGCCTTTTTTTTTGCTAATTCCCATGTCCCTCTGTCCCACCTTCTCTCTCCAAGACGGGTTACACCATGTTCTGTCCTCCAGGAGAGAGGCTTGTATGACTCCTGTGAGAGTGGAGGAAAAAGATATGACCATATTTGTGGCTATCCTTATTAATCCCATAAATGAAAGTAATAGTTTGATATTTTGGAAAGGACAACAGAAAAAAGAAGCTCTCTCAATGAGAGTTTGATGACAAGATGGATACCACTCTGTGTACTCTAAATATGAAGCTACAACCAGGAGACAGATAGCTTAATTTAGCATAAAGACCAAAAACTGGGGTCACAGCTTGCCTGGCTCTGTCCAAAGGCTCTGTCCAAAAATGTCACAGTTAACTGAAGTGCATGGAATGCAAAATCCAAATTTGATTTGTTTTTACACTTTTTGAGGATTAAACAAACATGAGAAACACTGTGTTATTTACTGAGCGTTAGACATGCAGATAGGTGGATGTTTTTGCAGGCTAGCTGTTTCCATCGGTTTCCACTCTTTACTCTATGCTAAGCTAAGCTAACAATCTCCTGACAGATATGAGAGTGGTCTTCTGAGCTAACTCAGAATTTAGAAACTTACAAAGTAGCTCCTGTTCATCACTCTCAATCGTCTTTGTTCACTTTCTGTCATGAAACACAAACAAGAACTTCATGTAAGAAAGAGGGCGTGATAATCAACAACACAAACAAGCAAACACATATCCTCCTCCCAGCTCTTCGTCATATCATCCTCACCTTCAGCTCTTTGGTCCATCTCAGTTTTCACTGCATCAGTGCCATCTGCTGGCTGGTTACTTTCCCTGCTGGTTGCCTTAGTGACAAGGGCCACAGGTCCAGAAGAGGGTGAAAGGTCAGGGGGGCTGTTTGGTTTGACCTCCGTGGTGATGCTGTGGCTATTGGAGGAGTGGTCACTGGGACCTTTTCTACACAAACATGCATGGTTGGTGTGTGAGAAAATGCTTTCAGGTAGTCCACAATCAACCACTGGGAGTTGACAGGGAGACCCTTTTATAAGGGTAATTGTTATGTTATTGGTCATGCAAGTAAAAGGTTCTGATGTATATAAGCTATGCAAGATTGTTGTTAAAACCTTCACAAACAAAAAACAGAAGAAATAGTGGTCACATATCGCTGCATTAACTACAACTATTGAGAAATAATAAATAAAAAAATTGAAAAAGAGTTGAAGTTGAGAGTATAACGGACATTACCATTCAACTCAACACAGGATGTATATAGCGAACTTGATAAAGCGTTGGAGGCTTGCGTGAAAGTTTCCCAGTGGCACATGAAGTCAACAAAGTCAGACTTCCGTGTATAAAATGACGCTGATCTACCGGAGATCTGCTGCATCAATAAGGCCAGAGAGGAAGCGCAATAGTGTTTTCCTTTAACCCCGTCTCACAAATGCTCAATGTCAGTTTGCTCACCTAAAGGGCAGTTCATTATGCCTTGGGAAATAACTCTGGATTTGTGGATCTATGGATCGAATGATTTTAAAGAAAAAGCACGACACCGCCTCATGTTTCCTGCTTCCTTTGGAGCGTTGGTTGTGTACGTCCTCAGAAATGATGACTCGATGTGAATGCGTTGGTTAAAAAGCAAGTCTATCTCCGGCCTAACACCTCAGCATCGGCCTGTAGTGTGCGCGAGTAGTCCCACCATGCTGCCAATTTTACGCAGACGACGATTCGGCTTATGTGTGTTGTCACCATAACAATCGCCATTTTCTTTTGAGCTGGTCAAATGACCCCCCCCCC